CGGACCATCAGATGCCGGACCATCGGAGTTTTACTGTAATTAAAAGATGAAACGTAAGCATTTTAAAACATTCTTTTATTTTTGTCAATTGAATTAGTATTCATTAAAGTGAGAGACTAAAAACATGATATAAAGCCAGGTATGGTGCAAGATTACCGATACTGCTCTGTTAAAACACCGGGGTTGTCACCTGCTAGTCCTTGTTGTTCTGTTAGTGTCCTTTACAGATAACTTGCATGGATTAAGATGAAACGTAAGCATTTTAAAACATTCTTTTATTTTTGTCAATTGAATTAGTATTCATTAAAGTGAGAGACTAAAAACATGATATAAAGCCAGGTATGGTGCAAGATTACCGATACTGCTCTGTTAAAACACCGGGGTTGTCACCTGCTAGTCCTTGTTGTTCTGTTAGTGTCCTTTACAGATAACTTGCATGGATTAGATGCATCATATTAGACTAGACCAGTGTTTCTCAACCACTTTGGGGTACTGGAGAAGATTTGGAGAAAACTGATTTTTTGTTTTAAGTTTTACAGCGCTTTATTTTTGTATATTTTACACCCAAAAATGTCATTGCCCACCCGGCTACAATTAAGTTGTTTAAACAAATGTGTTGCAATGATAGAAAAAAATGTTGTGTGTCTGAAAACTGTAGGGACTGGGGGTACTTAAAAAAATTTTTATTTTGAAAAAGGAATACTTTATTAAAAAGGGTTGAGAAACACTGGCCTAGACTATGTAATTAGGGGTTAGAAATAAGACTGATGCACTATCCCACTGTAACACCAATCCCTTGAATCTAGAGAGAGGAATCTCTATCCACAGTGAAAGCTTTCATTTGAAGAGGCCTGTTTTCTGAGTATTGCATCTTTTTTCTATGTATAATCAGTGCAATTGAGTTCCATTGCTCTCTGGGAAGTCCGGTTTTAGGAGTGAATTTGGCAATCTTGTCAGCGAAGCAAATGGTGTTAAAATATTTCCTCTTTGGGCTTCCAAGCATACTGCTTATTTCACACTCTGTATTGGATTTTACTCAGAATGGCCTGGGTATTAATTTAATACCACTGCACCATCCTTCAAACGAGTGGAAGATGGATACAATTTTGATGCTAGTGTACTAAAGGAATTGTTTTCAGAACCATCTTCGTTATGTTACCTGGCCTCCTAATTTCATTTTCACTATACTTTGTTAGCCCTGCATTTTGATTTTTCTCTGTCTTTTGCAGACATTATTAATGGACCACACCCGCTTTCAGGAAATGCAACTGGAGCTGAAAGAGCTCATCTTGATCAGTGCTATCCTCCTAGTCCTGTTCAGTGTAACAGGTGTGGCACTTTCCAGTCTGCCATGGTTTGCTGACAAAATCAAAGCCATTATAAAGGTGTTATTGGCAGGGGGCCTATCTAGTAGCTCTCAGGTGTGCTGTGTTCAACTGTGGCATGGTATTCAGTCGTTTAATTTTGTTGTGAGTCGAGTATTGATTGCAGAGGCTGCTTCTTACTCTCTTGATTTCAAGAAACTTAAAGAAGGCTAGAAGGGACAAGTGATTAGAATGGAGGGTTTTAACTCCTGCAAGAGTACAAAGCTAGCAGCTTTTCCTAAGGAAATTAACCACCTCATTCCTTTCCTTGCCCACGCATCCTGCTGCAAATAATCCATTTGCTGTCACTGCTATTTTTCATATGAAGTCTTCTACCAAGTCCACAGCTTTCTGTTGGCAGTTAACCACATTTCATAGTTTGGACTAGTATCCCTCCATCCTTCATAGAATTGTTGGTTTCTGTAGGTTTAGGATGACTGCCATACACCCTGGGCTGAAACATATTTATTAATACTAGGGGGCTGTGCCCCCTGCTTGCTACGCTTGCCAGCCCTCCTCGCTCTGGGGGTAGGCAGCCTGGCTCTTCTCCCCCCCAGCCACCAGGAGGGCCAGGTCAAGGTGTGGCAGCCCTGGCTTGCGCCCTTCTCTCCCCTGGCCACCAGGCCAAGGCCATGCCCCAGCTCTCCTTCCCTCCACTTCCCTGGCTGTCAGGCAGGGCCAAGACCAAGCTAGCCCTGGCTCTATCCCCTTCCCCAGCCACTTCCGCCCCGGCTCTCCCCCACCCCACCTGCCACTTGGTGGGCAGGGCCGAGGCTGCACCAGGCCCCATGCTCTCTCTCTGAGCACCAAGGATGGGGGAGGCTGTGGCACGGCAGCCCCAGCTCATGAGCACTGGGCAAAGGGGAGGGAGGATGCAGGCGGGACACAGAGTGGCGTGACGACGTCCCTCTGTCATCCCGCAGGAAACATTTTTTTATCTACATTAGGGTATGTCTACACTACCCCGCTAGTTCGAACTAGCGGGGGTAATGTAGTCATCCGCAGTTGCAAATGAAGCCCGGGATTTGAATTTCCCGGGCTTCATTTGCATGAAGCCGGCCGGCGCCGTTTTTAAATGCCGGCTAGCTCGGACCTCGTGCCGCGCGGCTACACGCGGCACGGACTAGCTAGTTCGGATTAGGCTTCTAATGCAAACTAGCTGTACACCAACGAGGCGTACAGCTAGTTTGGATTAGAAGCCTAATCCAAACTAGCTAGTCCGTGCCGCGTGTAGCTGCGCGGCACGGGGTCCGAGCTAGCCGGCATTTAAAAACGGCGCCGGCCGGCTTCATGCAAATGAAGCCCGGGAAATTCAAATCCCGGGCTTCATTTGCAACTGCGGATGACTACATTACCCCCGCTAGTTCGAACTAGCAGGGTAGTGTAGACATACCCTTAGAGAGAGGCAGCTCAAATCACTATAACTGGGCTGATTTGTAAAGAGTCAAAGATTGTTGTTTGGTCATTTCTTGTAAGGAATGGTTTTCTCCTTCATGGTCTCTCTAGCTCCTTCAACCTGAGTGAATCTTTGGCGACTGTTGGTGAGAAGGTCTGTGCTGAAGTTAATAGTTGTCTTTCCCAACATGGATTAACACCATTCACAACTGAGAGAGAGGTGGGGCTTAAAGGACAGATCCAGGCACTGGCAAACCCTGATAACGCCATATGTAAACTGATAGGTAATACTGGAGTGTTTATGCTGTGTTTTCAAGGTGCTTCTCTTTTGCTGTTTTTTTTTTTTGGTATGACTTAATATTTATTATTTAATAACACTTGCTTCTGATGTACGGTCAGGCACCAGGCAAAGTTCACCTGCCTTACCTTGATCACTTGGGCAGCTCGGCAGCTCTGAAAATCAAGTCGACATTTGAAATGTAATTGCCAAAGTGTCAGCTGTAGGAATTCGAAGATCATTTCTAAACTTGGCTCTTCACTGAGCTGCCCAGGCTCCTGCATCACCAAGTCTACTTCCTGAGATTGCAGTTATTTGAAACAATGATCTTTTTGGACAGTAGAACATAGAATTGGGAGTCTGTGCTCAGCAGTGTCTCTGGATTGAAGTACATAACAAAGGGGACGGTGATCGACCCCCATGCTGTATGAAATGGACTTATGGACATAAAGATACATAACTCAAAGGTGCTTTGGGCAAATTGTCTCATGTAACCTATCAATCTTCATGTCATAATCCACTGGATCTGTGTATCTTATTTTGGTGCATGTATCATTCTTGTGTGTAATGTTAAATATATGGAGCATGGAATGGTTTGTGGTTTTAAATGTGCAAAGGAAAGCCATCAAGGCTGTTTCCAGTGCGAGGACACCTCAATGTCTGAGCAATCATATGTAAACAGCCTTTTTTGTCCTTAAGTCTTAGCAGTGGTTGGTAGGGACTGGCCAGATGACTTCCCATGCAAAACAGGGAATCTTTAAAACTAATAGGAAAGTAGGAGTGTTTGGTCTTTGGGCTGGCTGGACTCACCTGAGGGAAGGGAAGGAAACAAAGACCCCAGGGTGAGGGACAACCTTGGTTTGGAAGGCTTTGCTGGAAAAGAATCCGTTTTAGGGTGTGTTTGTAGGGAGAGTGTAATATATTTGTACTGAGGTTTCAGTGTTAGTTAGCCAAGCATTTTCTTTTGAGTTTGTAATCTACTTTGCTCTGCCTGTTCTCACTTATAACCACTTAAATCCTACTGCTTGTACTTCATAAAACCACTTTTATTTTCTATCAGTTCCAGTGTAAATAATTGTTATGGGGGGGGGAGGGGAAGCAACCAGTGTGCACATTCCCCCTTTCATTGCTAAAAGGGGCTTACCTAATTAATTCCTTTGGGGTTCTGATCCCATTTGGGGAATGGTATCCTGGGAAGCTGGGCCCAAAACTGCATTTTCCTTGGACCTGAAGAGATTCAGTGTCTGCATTGCTTCTTGGAGGCTGAGGGCCATTGATCTCAGCTCAGGGCCTTGGCTGGGGGAGACCAGCGGAGCTGGCCCAGCAGGACTGGGGGAGGGTGTGTGAGAGAAGCCCCATAGAGCAGGAAGGCGAGTGACAGTGGCTTTGCCAGCCCTCCAGGAGGCACCCCCAAGGGGTCTTCTGCAACCTCATCACATCACAGTGTTTTCAGCAATTTTTTTTGGTAGTGCACCATGGAGGAAAAAGATTGATGACTTGCTTTGTTTTGTTTTTTAAAATCATCTTGGTCCTTTTTTCCAGATTCTCGAATCCAGACATTTTTAGAGCACTGTCTGACTTCTGGTCATCAGAAATCATTTCCTGCTATTCCAGAGGGATTAAGCCCTATTCAAAAAGAGATGGAAGAAATCGCTGTCAAGTATGTTCGACTTGTCAACTATAACAAGATGGTTTTCAGCCCTTACTACGATGCCATCCTTAGCAAACTACTGAATAAGGAAGAATCCCAGTTGTCAGAGTAGTCTGAAAAATCCTCATACCAATTTGTATCCTATCTAGACAGTATTAATTTTCTCTGCTAAAAAAATCTTGCCATTAACTTGGCTTTGGAAATGCTATTCCATTAAAACATTATTTTATTACTAGCTCAGTAGTGCTGATAATACAGGAGAAATGTATGTATAAATTGGAATAGGCATGTTGAGAATGAAGTGGTAAATAGATGCATTTTTAGCTGAAGGTATGTATGTTAATTTTATGGCTATTGTCTTTGCTACTGAGCAGCTGCTACAGGTTGGACCTCCCTGGTGCAGCACCCTCGGGACCTACGCAGTCCCAGATGAGGGAATTTGCTGGATCAAGGAAGGTTCCCTGCCACTGGCCTCCTCAGCCTGCTGCCCCTCCCTGCCTCCGGCTTCTTTGGTAATGCTTTCAGCTGGGTGACCCAGCTGCCCCAGCCCCACAGTGGCGCACAGCCCTGGCCCTGCTGTCGTGGCACCAGCCCCGCTGTGGGGCAGCACCTGGCTCTGGCTGAGCTGCCCAGCCGGGTTGCTGCAGCAGTACTAGTCCTGCTGCCGGTCTGGCACACTGCCCTAATCGGGCTGCTGGCTTGCCCTGGTGGTCCCAGCTCTGCTGTTGCGGCCCCAGGCAGGCTTCCCCGGCTGCTGGTCTGACACACAGCCCCAGTTGGGCTGCTGTGGTACCAGCTTCGCTGTTGGGTCAGCATGCATGGCTGCCCCTGCCTCACTACCGCAGCCCTGCTACCACCGCCAAGCTGCTGAGGCTCTGGCCCCGCTACCACCAGCCTTGCTGTGTGGGGCTCTCAGTTGCTGGCCCTCTGCCCCTGGGCTCTCCCGGACCATGAATGTTGCCCAAGGAGACTGTCCCAGTTTAGGGAGGTGCAAGCTGTAGATAAGATTAGATCATTGTACAACCAGACTGCATTTTTAAATTGCTGATAGTGGAGGGGAGGGGTCTTTTTGTCGCATTCTACCTCTCCGGCTTACCATGAGTTAGTGTGTTCATCTGGAGGAGATCAGCAAAGATCTTTTCCGTACTGAGTGATTTGACCTTTTGAAATCCTATTTTCACAACTGAAGAAATAATTGAATTTTTGAGATGCAAGAAACTGGGATAATGGTAGTTAAGAACAGGCCCAAACATAGCACTTTACTGTAATAGTATAAGGCTTAAGTATAAGTCTTTCTGCTAGTCACATTTTTTGGTAGCAATTTTTGCTCTCTCTGCAAACAGATTACCAAAAACATACGATATTTTGTAGTGAATGTTTTGCTTATCAAGTAATTGTCCTCTTTTTTTTGTGTATGGTGTTACAAGGGGAACAGTCTATAAGATTGCAGCTGTGTTTCTCTTTGTAAAGCTTTCAGGTAGGCCAAGTGAAAACTGCTTTCATAAGAGTGGCATTTCTTACCTTTCTTTTGCTAGAAGGGTATTCCTTTTTATGTGAAATACTAATTTTAGAAAGCAAACATTTTAAGAAGATGGATCAAGTCTTCTACATTGAATTTCAGGTGTGAAGAAATTTCCTCATCTCCCCTCCCCCCAAAAACTATGTGAATTATGAGACTTATAGCTATAGCTCATAGCTTCAGAAATATCACTGAAATTGAAACCTATTAAGAACTTCATATTTTAAACAGGACTTAAAAGGTATAGTAGGAAATGAACTTTAATTAGTTCATTTGAAGTAATGGGAAAATGTTATTTAGTGTTTTAGATAACTTCACTTTTTAGATTTTCATGAACTCAGAATTTTAGATCCTTGAGAAGATAACTGGCAAGATGTTTTCTAAATGCACTCTGAAGGATTTCTGATCTTAGTGATTAATAAGATTGTATTTATTTTCAAGACAAAATTAAATATCAAAGTTTAGGACAGTTAAAAGCAAAATAGAAACTTTCTTCAGCAGATAGAGCCTCTCATAAAGAAATTGTTGCAGAAGTTCTTAGCATCTCAGGTAATTTAAAGTGAAAGGAGCTGGACCTTGTCCTAAGAGTTTAGTGGCTATGACAAAAATAGACCATTTACTGTATTCCAAAGAATTAAAGGATTTTTTTATTACTATTGAATAAAATATTGAATGTGACTGACCATTTAACTAGTAGAATGGTGATAGGAAGGGAAATACCCTGGAGTACATATTCCAATGTTTATACTTCCCTTTCCATTTTGAATTTTCAGTAGTTCCTAGGAATTGCACTGAAATCTGATGTATGGCTCTGTGTTCTCCTGTATGGGGAAGATGTTATTTTATTCCAGAAGTGTTACTTGCTTGATGTATCTCTGCATTAGCATATTAAATCTATCTCAAACTTTGATTGCATGAAAAAAAGTTTACCTCACTTTTATTATTACAGTAGAAAACAATGTTTCTTTGTTGGATGGTTCTTTTGGCTGAATATGTATATTTGAACATTCTTTAGTAAGTAGATAAAATTAAGACACTTATTTTCAAACACTAGTTTTTGTTGTCAATGTTCTGTTTTACCTCAGTTCTCCTTCTTGCCTGGGGCACATAATAGTCTAGCCTCGTAATAATTTGGCCTAATTTTGTTTGTTGGATTTAGTGTGCTGGTGCTAGTCTCTGATATACGAGAATTCAGACATGATGACTCTCGTGCCCTTAAAATGCCATACTTTCTGTATGGAGAAGTTACTGAGGGCTATTAGAGAGATGCATTTGTTGCTTGAGGACCAGCACTTTGGTTCTGTATATGTCTTCATACCTTTGTGTAGCATCAGCGTGTGATCTTAACATTCTTGTGTATTAGCAGTGGATGCTTTAAACTTATATCAGATGGTGCTTTGGGAGATCCAAATACTACTTTTTTGTAACCTGTGTTTTGGTTATCACCTCAACAGTTCCTGTTAAAGATGAAGGCTAGAAAACACACACTGCTGTTTGTGATGCACTTGTTTGAGGATCAAAGTGTATAGGTTCTAATTGCTGCTGCTTATTTATATTTCAGCATTGCCCAGATTCTCCATCCATGTGGTGACTTACAGTCTTAAGACAGTGCTGGAGGAAAGGATACAACACACAGTGATTGGTGCATCTTTCTAGTTCTCTGAGATGTTAAATTGTAGATAATCCACTAATCAAGTAGCTGATGGCAGTAGGGAATGCTCACTACCCCCCACTGCAGCTCTGCCTTTTAAATGTATAAGAGCCAGGTGACTCATATTACATTTAAAAGGCAGATGCACAGTGAGGGGCCTGGCTTGCACCAGGGTCCCCTACTGTGCCTCTGCCTCCCCTGCCCCCCCCCTAGTTGCTGCTTCTGTTAGAGGCAGCAAGGGGGGGGAAATGCGAGGAGTCTACTCAACTACCTGATAAACCTTGGCTATTCAACTACTCCTTTCACATCACAACAGATAAAAATGGATGTAGAGGAACTAGGGATGTAAAACAGATGTGATAGAATGATAGGAAGGAGGGACACAGCTGAACTATTTTTTTAAAATCAATTTTCATATTCTCTACAGCCTGGTTCTCCTCAGGCCATCAGCGCTGGGAGCCTATTCCTAGTGCAATTTCTAGTTGTTTTGTAGATTCAAGTTGTCAAGCAAAGCACCGAAACTTTAGGCTACTTTATCTCATTGCCTTTTAAGTGATTATTTCAAAGTAGGAAAGAGCCAGATACCAACACCAAAATGAGAAGTAGGAGTCATGAGCAAACATGTGAAATGGAGGATTAAGGTAAAAAATTTCTACCCTGGTTACTTGTGCCCAACAGTCCTGAAAAGAAAATCACTTAATCAGATGTTTAAATATGAACTTAAAACATCTCCAAAGATTGTCAGCCCTGGATGTTTAAGTGAGGAATAAGCACACCAGTAGTGCAGAAGTGGTGACTGGCACAACTCCCTCTGTCCCACACGGCTTTTGTGGCTGAGCTTTCTAGTTGTTTGGAAAATACTGCACACTGGTCCAGGGTTTGAATTCAGTACCTCCAGTACCTTCTTGCTTGTAGTGGAAGAGTGGTTTGCAGACTAGCTTAGTTAAAATACACTTGATCTGATCTGTTTTGTTTAGGTTTTCATTATTACACTTATCACTGTGGCAACTGATCACTTAAACCAACTCACAAGCTTAATGCAACAATCTCATGAACAGAGTTTGTCCTTATCCTAGCATTTACTCAATGAATACAATGTCAGGGTGGGTGACTTGCTGTGTGGCTAAGCAAAGGTCAGCTTCTGAAGTGCCTGGATAAATGTGTACTTAATGTAGGAGATCATCATGCCTGTTCAGGCAAGCAAAGCATCCAGCTGTCTGAGTACTAGGTCCTGCTTACTGAGCCTAACACCTACCAGTGCATGTTGCTTAGGTGATCAGTACAGTAAGGTCTGTCTGTCTCAATATTATGTTTTAGAGCTTTACTTTTTTTTAAAGCAGCATTGGCAAACAGAGCCCCCTGTGGGCAGCAGGCACACAGGGCTGTGGTGGGGTCCTGTACTGACTGAGGACCAGGAACTCCATTCCATGTTTGATTTGTCAGCCTCGCACTGGGGTGGGCAATAACTGGGTTCCCAGGATTCACTGTTGACCAGCTGCCAGACACAGTTTACCTAAACATTTGCAGGCATGGTCAGTGGCAGCTGGGGGGGAAGGGGGGCAACCTGTTTTCACTTCCTGCAGCTTCCATTGTGTCCTGCTTTTAAAAAACAAACCAACCAACCGACACACATTATGTTGTGGCAGGTTACTAAGCAATCCCTATTGAAAGTTCAACTTACATAAGATGACTATACTTTACTGGTTGAATATATAGTGTAGCCACCTCTTCAAATCTCACTGATACCACTGAACTACAACTAGGCACAGGAGTGGAGCTTGTATTATGTAGTAAGACCATGTATAATATCACGCTCTTTAAATACATTGTTGAATATTAAGGTGTAGATTTAAATGAAATCTAAAACATATGTGCAATTACACAGAAACTGCTTTTAGTACCCTGTTAACTTTGAAAATGACAAGCAAAAAAAAAAATTTTAAACCACTACAATCAGTTATTAAATAGTAACTATGGATAAAATGTAAGATAGGACTATCAGTACTTCTGGAAATTCCAATAGATGTGTGGGCATTTGATTGACAATATAGCACAAGTTATCTATTCTTTATTTTAAATTGCTTTGGAATGAGGAAATATAGTGTATCTTCCAATGGAGTTAGGAGTAGAATTCTGGAAATATCATGAGGAATTATCTCCTGACCAATAATTAAACCTTATTAACATCACTTTTGAGGATGCTGAGGTTGGGTGATGTAAGAGTATATACCTAATCCAAATAAGTCATGAAAGTAGTTGTCTTTTTTTATTTTAATGGAATGGGGTTTTTTTCCATTTTAAACTACAAAACAGATTCCATACAGTCTGCCATAAATAAAAACAAACAATAAGGCAGGACACTACATGAGCAAATTTAGAACAACTGTTTTCCAGGAAATGTGAATTAAAAATGCTTTACAATTATAAGCCACTCAGTTTTTAAAATAAAACTGTTGAAAGCCCACAAGACTTCAAGTGATTGATGTGAATACACTTGAAGAGGAACAAAATGCAATTCAAACATTTTGTGCTATTGTTTTTGAAAACCTAATTTTGTTTAGCCCACTTTCTAAGACTCATGTGTCTCTGCTAATCAAAAAACATACAGTATAAAGAGGCACCACAGTAACAAAACCTCATTTCCAAGATGTTTGAGAGAAACTGTTGTCCCTTTTAAAACATTTGACATAAGAGGCCAAAAAACCTCTTCTTACAAGTCTTTTACAGTCAGATTTGGAATCTGTTTCATCGGATTCTCTTTTGTTGCCGTGCTCTGTATATGTCATGTACAGGAGGAACTACTGATCCCTTCTCCTCTTCATCGTCAGAATCTTCATTTGGTCTCTTGACAGCTTTATTGAACAGGGTATTATTTTCCACGGGTCCATTGCCTTCCATAGTTAGTTCAGGTAGGCCTCCAGTAATTAATCTTACAGCTTCATCAACAGCTTTGAAATAAGAAATATAAATTGGCTTCAGAAAAACATTTTTCCTTGATTAGAGAAACAAGTCAGTAAATCACTAAGCAGTATACCCTTTTGCCAGAGGCAGTAGTAGGAAATCCTGACTATGAAAATTTATTGCAGGGATGAGAGAAGAGAACTTACATCAAGTAGTGTAGCGAAACTTTTTACTAAGGAATGTCTTTGACATTTTCTCAACTTAATTCTGTAAAACAAACTTCTCAAACTCCAATCAAGCATTGTATTACAGATCTGAAGAAAGATGGTTCATTTAAGCCATTGCTTTTGCCAATGAAGAATTTTGCCATTTTACTCAAACACACATTCACAAATGGTAGTGACACTAGTTGTTAAAAAAAACCCTCAATTTAAGTACTTAAAATCTAAGTCATCTCATGATGTCATTCTCTCATCAGAAATGAGTGAGCTGAAAACTACACTGCATTGGGGGGAGGGGGGGTGCGGAACTGAAAATGACGGATTTGCTGCCTTTTGAGTCTCACTAGGCTACATGCTACTTTCAGCAAGCATAACAGGTAGAAATTAATGTCCAAGAAGTACTTTACAGCCAGAAAGGAAAAACTCCATCTTGAGTGTCCCTGCCTAAGGTGAAGTTTCTCTGGTTTGTTATAGGAGAACATAAGTTTTAGTTTCAGGTATGGGCACTTGCTCCTTGAGCCTATATAGGCTAAAGATGTTGAGAAAGCTGCATATGGGATTTTACCTCAGAACTTCATGGCCTGTTGCGATGGGAATTCTATTGTATCATGTTCCATTATAAGCACTGTAGAGAAGGGATTATAGGGGACTGACCCATAAGGGACAGAAAACAAGATGTGAACTGTTATGGGGAAACTCTAAAATGGCTAATCCTTTAAAAGTTATGTATTCCAGGAATGAAAATCACCTCATTTCTTTATTATGGAGAAACCTCAGATGGTCAAAAAGGAATCAAAAGCACCAACCTAATCTCTGTACAGAATGCTAGGCAGGTTTCCTGTGCAAGAAGACATATAGCTAGTCTCACACTTACTATGCACTAATATCTTGCTATGTCAATGACGATAAAAATGAAGAGAATAAGTGTTCAGCCCTCAATCTGCAAATGTACACAAACCTGTAACTCAGCAGACTACTTGTGTATTTATGCATATGTGTTTGGAGGCTCCAGAACATTTTGGACAGCCATTTAAACTGGTCTGCAAAATAAATCTCCACAATAGATATTTAACTTGGTAGTGCAGCCCAGTGCCATGTTTTCACAGTAAAATACATGTGTTGGAACAACTTACTTTCTGGCAGTTTGCATCTTCGAAAAATCTCCATGAGTTCATCCACTTGTACAAAAGGGCCCTGATAGTGGAGAAGAATGTAGACAACTGACTATGAAATATTTATACACCAGTGGAAACATTAAGTAGCACAGTCTCTATCATTAATTAAAGCACTGTACTGAAGTGTCTGTTTCCTTGGGACAATTATTAAAACAAACCTGAAAGCAAATAGGAGGTGGGAGGAGCTTCATTAACACTACAGCAGCTGGTGGGACTGGAAATACACCACCTGGCACAGGATGCAAACCTGGAGCTTTGAGGAAAAGAACAGTAGACATCAAATTTGAATGTCAGTCACGGTAATTCCAGCTCTATAAAAGCTTTTATCTGACACAAATGAATAAGTGGGTGGTACATTGTCATCTTCAGCTATCTGAACCCTAGGAAACAGGAGTTCTCAACATAGTTCTCTGAGCCTCCCCAGCCCCAATATATAGATTTCCAGAGACCATTTATGTTGCAACAGCTGTTTTGCTGAATAGCAAAACCAGCAGTAGGGGGTAGCAAGCTGAGCAACTGCCTGTAATCTAAAGCCACACAAGTCCCCCCAAAGCTGTCATGATCAGGCTTCTGCCCTGGGCCATAGTGAGTCTGAGCCTTGCTTGGTGGCCCCTAAGCAAAGCACTTGACTTTAATTGTGCTTAAATTCTTTTGAAGTCTCAATGGGATTGGAGCAGATGTTAAGAAGGTACTTTACTCATGGAGGCCCTGATCAGCAAACTGCATTACATTCACGGGATGGCTTAATGAGAGTTAAGGTGCAGTATCTGACCGCTCAACAAAGTCTTTTACCTGGACCAAACTCCTGACTTACGTGCTAAATGTCTTGGCTGAAATGGAATCATCTGCTGTGTGTCTGGTTTGGGGTATTCAGGTTTTCTGTCCACTTCATCTTTTAGAACAGGCACTATAGAAGGCGCCACCACGGGGTCTGGAATTATGGTGGCTAATTTGGCACGTGAGACATCCTGAAAATGCAAATTAGAGAGCACTGAACCAGGGAATTTAGCAATTCCATGTTTAAATTTACACAAAGAAATATTGTCGCTTTATCATTAATTCTTACCATCTTAGCTACATTTTTTCTAAGGCTTTCCGAAGATATCTGTTCAATATATTCAAACTTGGATGTCTTACAAGGTTCCTGAGTCCCATGTTTTAGGCTATGATTTGCATGATATGTGTTACAGTTGTGCCTTGAGGCCCCAGCCAAGATCTAGCTGTGGGCTACGTCTACACTGCAGGCTTCTTGCACAAGAACTGTTTTGCGGAAGAGTTCTTGTGCAAAAGGTCTTCCACAAGAGTATGTCCACACTGCCATGTGCTTTTGCACAAGAGCATCCATGGCAGTGTGGACGCTCTCTTGCGCAAGAAAGCTCTGATGGCATTTTTAGCCACCGGGATTTCTTGCGCAAGAAAAACATGTTGCTTGTCTATACTGCCTTCTTGTGGAAGAGCTCTTGTGCAAGAGGCCTTATTCCTCGTGGGGAGGGGGAATAACTTCTGGAAGAAGCCCTATTTTCTGATGCTGAACTGTGAATTTACTTGCTCAAGAACGTGCGTGCAGTGTAGAAGCTCTGAAAGTTTTTGCGCAAGAACAACTGTTCTTGCACAAAAACCCTTCAGTGTAGATGTAGCCCTAGTGTTTTAGACAGAGAATGACGACTTAAGGCTTGTCTACACACAAGGGCTGTGTCTACATTGGCCACTTATTCCGGAAAAGCAGTCACTTTTCCGGAATAACTTGCCAGCTGTCTAGACTGGCTGCTTGCTTTTCCGGAAAAGCACTTTCGATCTAATGTAAAATTGTCAGTGTTTTTTCGGAAAAACTATGCTGCTCCCGTTCGGGCAAAAGTCTTTTTCCGGAAAACTGTTCCGGAAAAGGGCCAGTGTAGACAGCACAGTAGTGTTTTCCGCAAAAAAGCCCCGATCGCGAAAATGACGATCGGGGCTTTTTTGCGGAAAAGCGCGTCTACATTGGCACGGACGCTTTTCCAGAAAAAGTGCTTTTCTGTGGCCAATCTAGGTGCGCTTTTCCGCGATCGGGGCTTTTTTGCGGAAAACACTACTGTGCTGTCTACACTGGCCCTTTTCCGGAACAGTTTTCCGGAAAAAGACTTTTGCCCGAACGGGAGCAGCATAGTTTTTTCGGAAAAGCACTGATGATTTTACATTAGATCATCAGTGCTTTTCCGGAAATTCAAGCGGCCAGTGTAGACAGCTGGCAAGTTTTTCCGGAAAAGCGGCTGATTTTCTGGAATAACTTGCCAGTGTAGACACAGCCAAGTTGTACCATCTTAACGTAAATGGGTTTAAAAATATTTAGTTCAACTGATACAAATCGCTTGTGGATGCTTTTATATACAGCCACTCTCCGAGTTATGAACAAGTTACGGACCAACACTTGGTCCGTAACTCGAACTGTTCGTAACTTGGATCCCATAGAGTTACATGGCAACCGCGCTGTTCGTAACTCGGATCTGCATTTACGACCGCTTTGGTCGTAAGTGCGGATGGTCCTAAGTGTAGGTGGTCATACTTTGGGGAGCGGCTGTATGTCTATATGTATTTGTATTTTAGTATGTTCATTTTGTGTATCAAACATTTTCTTTCACCTCATGTATAGAAACAGCTGAATTGTTTTAGCTGAAATTTCACCACAAAAACCCAAAACCTAAGTCAGTATGGGACCTGCAACCATGATTGGAAATTTTAGCAAAATTATAAGCAACTAAAAAAATCTTAAAAATGGAAACAGGTTTCTGTCTGTATATTATCTGTGTTAAAAAAACCACACACACATTAATAGAAAATGTTTATAAAGTATGAGTCCATGAACTCAAAGCCTGAACACCAGCCCTGTTTCCACCAACCAGGATTATTTGTAAACCATGTTTAGGTAAAGTCCTCCGTGAGCAGTTCAATAAGCTAATTCTTCTAAGGAGTACTCACATGAAGCAGGCTTACATGACTAGGTTCTTTATGAACAATTCTGGAAAACAAGTGACTCAAACACCCTTTCTGAGAGAGGTGATTCCTGTATCCTTCCTCTCAGCAGAAGTGAGAAAACAATCCTTCCAGCAAACAAGCTCTTATTGTTCTCCCACTTGTTCACTTATTTCACATTGCACATGAAAACCTTCTAGTTTTATCTCTCAGTTGTTTCCCCCAAACTTTATAAACCGCAAAAAATAAAACATCAGGAAAAAAATACCACTCAGGACAAACCAAAATGATTTGGTTGAAACATTTCTAGAACTTACAAAAACTAGATAATAGAACTGAAAGCTGCATGTACCACAGGTCACATACCAATACTTATTAGCACGTTCCATTAAATAAAGACTGACATGCCTGAGGCTCTCAGCACTAACAGAACTATGGTTGTTATTAAATAAAGACATTGTCAAAGTGTCATGTGAAGAAGTGGGCTGGGCCTATGAAAACTCATGATGCTATCTACATGTTTTGCTAGTCTTGTAAGGTGCTGCAGGACCATTTTCTGTTTTGTATGTTTTTCCAGTTATAGACTAAGTCAGCTACGCTCCTGAAGCCATTAAGGACAGGCAGATTTTCTCAGCTTTCAAGCTTGATCTTTGGTACTCAAAGATTCATATCTAACCCTGCTACGGAGTTAGTGGGAGTTTTGCTACTGACAGAACAGGAATTGGGCCCATTCCTCTGATACTGGTCTTTTTGAAGTTTTTTAGCAAAGGAATGAGTCACCTAGTGACTTAAGCAGGAATTTTACTTGAGTAGGGAACTCAGAATTAAGCCTGTACTGAGGATTTGGAGTCTGTCAGGCATTACTGCACCAACATTTCATTAAAGAAGGCAAAACCAAATATTATTTTAGACAACATTGCATCTATTAGTCTTGTTCTCTCTCCACTTCCCTGCAATGGTTAACACCTGGCATTCAAAACACCAGCATCGTGGGACCTCTTGAAGTTCTCACTGTTACCCAAAAGCATTCTAAGTGAAGGACTGAACAGAAAGGCTGTGAACAACATTAATTCCAGGTTTAACCTGAATGGAGTTAAAACAAGGATGAATTAACTTGATGCTTTTAACTCCATTTTAGATCAAATCTAGTTCAAACAAAAAACCACCCAAGGGAAAGGAGTCTATGGAAAAAGAAGTCCAAACTTGCTTTATTTGAAACTCAATGGAAAAAAAAATCAAATCAATGGCAAAACTTTCACTGGGAGCAGGACTGGGCTAAAAAATGGAAGAATAAACCCCTAAAAAACCCCAAAACAAATGAAGGTTTGTTTGTTTTTTCCCATCTGTCAAGGAAAATGGAAGAAGGTAAGTGGAAGAAGACACATTGTTACAGGACTGCACCAGATCTCAAAAGAATGATCATAAAATTAAATGTTCTCAGCTACCTACCTTGTAACCAAGAGCTTTAAGTTCACTTGCAGAGCAAGGGTACAAATCCATGAACTTGTACCTATCTACCAGCAGAGCTGTCTCTTTACCCTCATATTCTTCTTTGAAGGCTGTAAACCTCCGTTTTTCCACTTTCAGTATACTAGCTAGATCACCAATATTACTTTCAAAAGCTAAAAAACGGGCCCAGATTTCTCTGTGAAAGAAAACAGGTAAAGGGAATAAATGATTGTTTGGGGGAACAGCTGTGCTGAATCCCTCCTTCTTGTCAAGATACACAAGAGGACAGACTCCAATAAAAGGAAGGTGAAAGCATGGACATTACCATTTAATATATCATCTCTTATCTATATGTATAAGTAATGCTAATATTATGCTCCTGATTACCTCATTTTTATAACACTTTTCATTCTGACAGACCTTAAAGCATTTTACAAACTATGTATACTGCAGTAGTAGGGCAGCAAGAGACCAACCAATGCATAGTATTCTGCACAATGTTAAATTCTAACTTCAGTGAAAATCCCACACAGCTTGGTAAAAAGGAATTTGAGCACATACATATGGGGTAATTCAACCTGCATTTTAACCTTACAGCCAAGCCCATCTGTGAGGAAAATTTGGCTTTTAAATGTGACACCTCCGTTTCCCTTTCTTCGAAATGGGGATAAAAATTTTCTCTCAGAGGATCAGAAGCAACAAATTCGGACATGAATGAGGAGAGCAGTGGAACATTCTTTGGCCATGATGCTTATGTCTTCTAAGCATTTCCCTATGGGGAGCACCAGGATTTGTACCCTTCTTACAATAACTGTGTTTATAGAGAGGGTGGAGACATGGCTGATGGGGTTAGGGACCAGATAGAAAGGGCTGCAAGCTCATCTATGATTCTTTTTCACTGGTTTTGGCTTTGCTTTTTGTACTCCTACTAACAGTCCTCCTCCATCAGTTCAGTTCCCCTGCTCTCGTGCTTGCATTATTCCCCACAATATTTCCCTTCCTTTCCCAAAATGGCAGGGAACAATACTCTGATCAGCAGTACCATCTGCTAAGAATGAATGATGTATTTACAGCGCAGAACGGTTTTGTGCTCTCTCATCACCAATGCTCTGCTGACCATTCTATGCCCTTTTCTTTAGGTGTGATTACGAGAGAGAGCAAACCTGCTAGCTAATTACATTTTAAAGGAGAGATTAAAAAGAGTTAAAATTTACAGTGAACATTATTTGTCAAAAAAATTGGACAAACTTACCCAGATTTCTCAGGTGGGAGGCTTCCAGAGGTTAAAACACGCTCAAACAAAACTCTTGTATTATTGTCCTCTAAAAAAAACCATATATGTAACCATTAAAAAGTATAAACATTCCATTCTAAATCTGTTTCTGTTCAGAGAAATTGCCATTCAACTGAAAAATAAAAGATTGCTCCAACAATAAAATATACTCTGACTTTATTTTTAATAAATAGGATCAAATAAACACACACACAGCCACAGCCACATCAATACATAAGTTAATCCTACTGTCGAGATATCAGGAAATGCAAAAGCCTCCTGCATGGACATCTCAGTATTTCAGAGGTACTCACCGTGGTGACAATGGAATTGCTGTGTAACATTCAAACACTGTATTGTGACTTGGTTACTGGGTTTTTATGGTATAAGTATGCTGGCTTAGTTTACTGCTACATTGTTGGAAAAACAAGCAGGTAGCAGAATAATGGCTCAAGATAACCATCATCTGCCAGCAAGGTACAGTGCAGGAGCCCTTTGGTAGTCCACCTCTGACTAACTAAAGAGTTCCCCAAACTGGTTGTGGGCAACAGAGGCCAAGTCTGAACTCAGGAAAACAAACCCCTAACCTAGCTTTAAAAGGACACCCCATCAAACGGGAGATGAAACCGACTGAAACGTCTAGGTAAGAAAGATACGCACTGGTCTTCAACCTTTGTAACCGTAAGGTCACTTTTTCAATGTAAGTGCAATGTGAGATCAACCTCAAACCCAAACAGTCTTGCCCAGCTTCTTTCCCTCCCCTTCTGAGGCCCTGCCCCTTCTCTGAGGCCTCACCCTGCTCACTCCATCCCCTTTTGCCCCCCACCCTCACTCACTTTCACCAGGCTGGGATACGGGGCTGGAGTGCAGGCTCTGGTCTTGGGGCAAGGGGTTTGGAGTGTGGGAGGGCCACTGGGCTTAGCCCAGGGTGGGGTACTGGGGTCCAGGAGGCGGTTCACGGTGCAAGCTCTGGGAAGGAGTTTGGGTGCAAGGGGACTCACATCTACAGCAGGAAGTTGGGGGTAGGAGGATGTTCAGGACTGGGATGGGGTTCAGGATGAAGGCTCTGGCTGGGCACTGTTTAACTGGGACGGCTGCCGGGTGGTGGGACAGTGGGGTTAAGGCAGGGTTACTCCTGCCCTGGCCCTGCACCACTCCTGAAAGCAACTGGCATATACAGCAATGGCTCCATGTACTGCCCCTCATCTACAGGCACTGAGCCCACAGCTTTACTGGCTTCGGTTCCCCATTACTGATAAACGGGAGCTACAGGAGCGGTGTCTGCAGGCAAGGACACATGTTGAGACCCCCTGCTCTGCCTCTCTCAGGCGTTGCAGCGACATTCCAGCCACGTTCAGGAACACAATTCCCACAGGGATAATGACTCCAGCCATGACAGGGTAGGCATGTTAGAACTCACTGCCCAAAGAATTACATTTAAGCGTAAAAAAACGAAAATGATGAAATGAGGCCAAACTCACAGAGAAAGAGGGTTAAATGTTGAGACCCCCTGCTCTGCCTCTCTCAGGCGTTGCAGCGACATTCCAGCCACGTTCAGGAACACAATTCCCACAGGGATAATGACTCCAGCCATGACAGGGTAGGCATGTTAGAACTCACTGCCCAAAGAATTACATTTAAGCGTAAAAAAACGAAAATGATGAAATGAGGCCAAACTCACAGAGAAAGAGGGTTAATGTTCCATTAGTAAGCTTTCCCAGTTCCCAAAGCTTACCATTAAGGTGAGACAGATAGTCAATGTATGCCAGTACATATTCTGGAATGTCTCCATATTTCTTTAGCCCCAACTCAAAAATTTTGAAGGCCACTGATTTGTCCTGCAAATGTTAAAACAGAGTTATGAGCTTCAAAAAAACAGCACATCTGTTAATACGTCATTAATCCCAAAGAACATATCCTAGTTTACCTTACTACAGTAATACTCCATCAAAGCAGCCGTAACATACACATGATGGCGGGTCCGGGCATCCTCTCTCGCTTTCTTAAATATCATTCTTCCAGATTTGATGCCTTCCGCCCGCCTTGCAAATTTCATATACTGTATATATACCTAAAATATATATGATGATTTCTTCAGCACATAAGATGGTATACAAAACATAGAAGTACTAAGGTAAGAAAAAGACATCTTTTGGACATACCTAGAATTTGCTCCAGTCACAAAATATAATAAGGGTATGTCTAGACTGCGGCTCTATTTCAGGGGTGGAGCAAAGGCAGGAGCCAGCACCAGCTCCTGTTTCCCTCCCCCACACTACACTACACACTACACTGTGGCTCACGCCTGTACCCCCACCCCCTAGGCTGCTGCCTCTGTGGTAGGTGGGGGGAGGCGGCTCTGCGGAAGCCGGAACACACGGGGAGCCAAGCTTAAAAGCCAGCTCCCCATGCTTGCCTTCCCCCTGATAAAGAAGCAGCCGGGGGTGAGGGAGGGAGGGAGTGTGTGTATGTAACTGAGAGGACTGAAGAAGGTTCACCCCTGAACTTAAACTTTTCTGTTCCCTTCCCATCCTGCCATGTTTACTGTTCATAATATAAGCTCCTCAGGACAGGACCTCTCTCTCTCTATGTACAGTGCTGCCACTATTGTGAAAGTATTAACATGGCTTTCTTTTTCCCCCCCTTAAAGTGGCAGTATAGTAGTAGCTTTTGTACTTATGCAGTATACTTCATCCTAAAGTGATTCATAAGTTTTAAACATAAAGCACCTGCACATTACATCGCCTCCTGGGGTACAGAGTGACAATCAATGGGTTCAAAGCACACAGTTAAGGCAAGAGGAAGTGAAACTTTGGTCAAGTCAACAAAGCAAGTGCCTCTTCTTACCAAGCAAGCCAGGAAACCTTAATGCACTTTCAAACCAGCATGGCTTGCTGTAGGTTTTATGGATGCAGAGAATTAAGTGCATGCTGCCCAAGTTATCTACCTTGGAAAACTAAAGGGCAGAATCACTGACCTTGCTGGAATATGAATCACTGACCTTGCTGGAATTTGAAAGTAGTCTACCTATTCTCAACCTAATACTTAGATTCACTAGTCATTCACTTGAACTATTAATGGCCGAGAATGCTAGCTATTCTTTGGGTATACTGAGATCAATATTATTAGAAATGTGGAAAAACTGAATCGTACTGAATCAGCTTACCAAAGTGGGATCGATATCTTCAATAGTCAAGAGACGATTGTATATACTGTGCACCTTCTCATACTTCATTCGACTCTAAGGAAATAAATTGGTTTAAAAAATTGCTAACATGCGCCATAATGCTAGAGAAGCTGATGTTTCTGGAAGTCTTCCTCTGCCACTACCTACTTGTTTAAAAAAAAATCAATAATTTGAATATTTCTAACGTATTTTTTGAATTAATACAGAAATATTTTCCAATTTTATTATGTTAGCCTAGAAAATAACAATGTAAGCTGAGAAATTTGGCAGAATTTATATTCCAATTATAGAAAAACTCTGCTTATATAGTACTTTTCAAGCAGGTGAGATTTTGGAGAAGAGATGTCTTGTCCCATTGGCGTTTGAGACAGCACTGCAATCTTTTTGCTCACCTCTTCGTAGTCAGCATATGCAAAGTACAGAAGCATGTTCTTCTTTAGTAAAGTGCTGATCGCTCTTTCATAAATATTAGCAGCCTCATCACTGAACAGTTTAGCATTGTTCATGTCCTATGAGACAAACATTTAATAAAATTATGTAATACTCATGACACTGAAGACCAAGTTAAGATCTGATCCAGCAGGCACTTATGCACCATTTTACTTATGGAAGTAGTCCCATTGAATTCAAATGGGAGAGTATTCACATGCTCATGTACATAAGCGTTTGAAGGGTCAGCATTCACCATGTTACTATATGTATCAACCATACAAATCTAACATTTAGACTGCATAAAATATTTAATGGCAACATTACACTTGCACTGCATCACCCAAATGGTAATTCTGGATGTTATGGAATCCATTCAGCATTCTAAACTTCTACACATAGTCTGAGGTGCTAAAAATGTGTTTTCCCCTTTGGCCATATCCATTCCCTTACCCCTTTCTCGGCTAGCAGCTTACTGGATTGTTCAAGATACTGTGCAGCTTCGTACCAGATATCTGGATGATGCCCCAGGACCAACAGGCACTGCTCATAAGCAAACATAACTAGGGGAAAAAAAGTCAAAATGATAAATATTCCCAGCAAAACAAGGTGTATGACTGTATATTAGCTACTTGTATTTGTAGCTTAAAGTATCAGATAACACAGAAGATACACAACATGGCTTGAGGTCAGCCTATCTCTCTTCAGGACACTGTCCCAGTTGCAGCCAGTGGGGTGCTGACACAACATCCCCTCATTGTAACAGAGAGGGGGCGACTGGCAGAGTGTTCTGCAAATGGGCCTGTGACCACCAACCTTGGTCTGAAATGGCCTATTGTTGCAGATTTTTTCAGGGCTCCTGTACGGAATTTGCAGCCAGGTCTCTGAAGAGAGTTAAGGCAGGCGGAAGTACTAACAGACATGTTGCGACATTTTAGTATGTACTGCCGCTGCTTGGTAAGAGAAGTGATTAACTGTAATTTACATTTGGTTGTGTGATTTTAAATGACTGGCAGGATGCTCAAAGTGTAGGGACAATTTTTATTGAGCTACACTGAAAGAAAATATAAAAGTAAAATACTATTTTGCACACAGAAGTAAAGAGACGGAGTAATAAGAAAGTCATCTGTAGCTTAATATTTTAACCACTTCTTAGTGGCTGCTGATTGTTCCTGGCTTCCTATTAGCAGAGGAATGACACAACTAGTTCTATTCCCATCACAACTTTACTCTAGATGGAAAATTTTGGTCACACTGGATTTGTGTTTTCCCTTCTAATTTTTTTTCATCCACCTGATCTTTTCTTGTTCCACTTCTAGCTGAAGAGAACCAGGACAGAATTTGGAATATCAACACTCCTGGAACAAGGCACTGAAATGAGACACTGTGGTCTAGCAGCAGCTAGAGGTAATGGATAAACACCTCCAACGTAGTTTAAAAACTGATTCAACCCTAAGAAAAAAAAAGATCAGTTACAATACTCAGTAATTGAAGCAAAATGCAGGACTATGTAGCACTTTAAAGACTAACAAGATGGTTTATTAGATGATGAGCTTTCGTGGGCCAGACCCCCTTCCTCAGATCAAATAGTGGAAGAAAATAGTCACAACCATATATACCAAAGGATACAATTAAAAAAAATGAACACATATGAAAAGGACAAATCACATTTCAGAACAGAAGGGGGATGCGGGGGGAGGAAGGTAAGTGTCTGTGAGTTAATATTAGAGGTGATAATTGGGGAAGCTATCTTGGTAATGGGTAAGGTAGTTGGGGTCTTTGTTCAATCCCCCTGGAGAGTGTCGAATTTTAACATGAATGACAGTTCAGAGGATTCCCTTTCAAGTGCAGATGTAAAAGGTCTTTGTAGCAGAATGCAGGTGGTTAAGTCGTTGAGACAGTGTCCTTTCTGGTTGAAATGGCAAGAAATAGTTTTTTCTTTGTGGTCTTGTCTGATATCTGTTTTGTGGGCATTAATCCTGTGTGCCCACAAAACAGCTATCAGACAAGACCACAAAGAAAAAACTATTTCTTGCCATTTCAACCAGAAAGGACACTGTCTCAACGACTTAACCACCTGCATTCTGCTACAAAGACCTTTTACATCTGCACTTGAAAGGGAATCCTCTGAACTGTCATTCATGTTAAAATTCGACACTCTCCAGGGGGATTGAACAAAGACCCCAACTACCTTACCCATTACCAAGATAGAGGTGATAATTGGGGAAGCTAATATCATTAACTCACAGACACTTACCTTCCTTCCCCTCCCCCCCCGCATCCTCCTCCTGTTCTGAAATGTGATTTGTCCTTTTCATATGTGATCATTTTTTTTAATTGTATCCTTTGGTATATATGGTTGTGACTATTTTCTTCCACTATTTGATCTGAGGAAGGGGGTCTGGCCCACAAAAGCTCATCATCTAATAAACCATCTTGTTAGTCTTTAAAGTGCTACATAGTCCTGCATTTTGCTTCAGCTACACCAGACTAACATGGCTACATTTCTATTACTATACCCAGTAATTGTAATTCATGTCCCTTCTGTAGTATTAATAGTACTTCTGCTGGTTCCCATACACACTGGGAATGATTCCATATTCAGCTCATCTGTACTAGAGATGTAAGTGACTAGTCGAGTAGTCCACTACCCAATAAGCATAAGCTTATCGCTTTCCTCTCCCCTCCCCGCTGCCTCTATCAGAGGCAGCAAGAGGGGGACCGGTTTCTTCCAGCACCGTCTCTGTGGGTTGGGGTGAGCAGGGGAGGCAGAGCTGAAGTGGTCCCAGAGCCGGTATGAGTCCTGGCTTGCGCTGCCCCTGGAGCTAACCCTGTTGTGGCCCTGCACTTTAAATGTAGTAAGAGCCCACACAGCTCTTACTACATTTAAAATGCAAAGCCGCAGTGGCAGTAGGAAGCGCCATCTCCTCCTTATCAACTAACTGTTACTTAACATCCCTAATCTGTACTGCCACATCTACGACATTGTAACTTTCCTTTCCCTCAAATTTGTCTACTATTATCTGTGTCTAGTATTCTACATTTTCAAGGTACTTTTCATTCCGCATGTAGGGATTGGTTACAAGATCGAATATAAGCGGTGACTTCTCCTTTAAGTGTGTGTGTGCGGGGGGGTGCCCCAGATTTTCCTATGTTACATCAAGGGTTGGCAACCCCCAACACGGATGCCAAGCCGATTTTCACTGGCAAGTGGGGTGGGAGCTCAGACCCGCCTTTTTCCCCTGCACTGCCATTTGAGCCTTGTGGCCAGCATAGCCACAGCACCAGCTCCGGGAGGCAGGCGGGGAGGCTGCAGACTTGGCTGTGCACTAGCCAGCTATTGGGGCTCTCCCCCTTCTCCGCCCGCCCAGCTCCATTACAGACGTGGTCCAGTGGAAGCAGCAGAGAGCAGGTGAGATGCTGCTGCTGCTGGAGATGGTGGGGGAACAGCTGGGCAAGCTCCAGGGGCCAGGGCTTGGGCCACGTAGGCTGCTCCTTAGGCACTGGGGCCAAGAGCGGGGCCGAGGCTGCTCCTGGATGTCTGAGACAGGGGCTTGGGCCATGTGGCTGCTCCTCTGGTAAAGGAGCCGTGGCAGTGGGGCAGAGGCCCGGGGCAGCATGTGTGTGGCTGCCTGGGCTGAATGGCGAAAGAGGGGGTGCTGGCACTGGGCTGAGGCGGAGGCAGGGAGGTAGTTTGTCTGTGCTGAGAGGTGGGGGAGGGGTGGATAATTTGTGCTTTAGCTGGGAGTTAGGACCGGACAGATGGCTGGTGCCTGCTACTTGGAGAAGCAGGATTTATCCCAGCCCCCATTTGGGCTGGGGGGAGCAGATTCCACAGGGGAGGTAAAGGGGGTGCCTGGGTGCTGGCCTCCGTGTGGTGAGCTGGAAGCAGGGGACAGTTTATTTGGGGTTTCTGACTGAACACTCAGCAGCTCATGTGCTGCTTGAAGTTTCAAACGCCGCGCCCAAGAGCGGAGACCTCAGCAAGGCAAAGCCAGGCCAAGGGCCACGCTAAACAGTACGATCTGCGTCTTCACAGATTTGTTAATGAAGCTGCTGTAGGTAGGATTATTATGGGCTTTAAAAAGTGTCACCAGCACTCGGACCCGTATATACCGGTGAGTAAGTTAAGTCTCAGCGCACCACTTCTGACAGGTTGCTGACCCCTGTGCTATATGATGGGAATTTCCTAGACAATTAGAAACAAGTTCTCTGTCTTTCTTACACAGGAAAAGAACTGTAAATGTTTAATCTTTATTATAATACTATAATACTTAACACTCCTTTGTTTCAGTTTCCCTAGCCTCTAAATGGAGATCATCTTTCCCCCTCCTGGAGAAGCCCTCTGAGATCTTTGTAGGCAATGCACAAATTAGTACTACTACTACTACTATCATTGCCTACAAGGTACCCATGGAAGTATTAAACCATCTCCTGCTTCTGATATCAGTCTCCCCACCAGATAATTAGCCTTCTGTTGATTGCTATTTCTCCAATTTTCATTGAGAAAAATTATACTCCTCCCCAGCACACCTGGCTCCATCATCTAAATTAGCACTGAAAGGATCAACTCCAGGATTGGTAAACAATCACATCTACACAGGTAATCACATATTTGCAAGATTTCAAAGGCATTTAAACAGGAAGGGCACAACCTGCAATCACAGGTGCCTCTGAGAGCCCACAAGGACTAAGCAGCCCCAACCAGCCTCCTTCACAGTGGAAGAGGTACAGATGGTCTAAAAACCTCATAGGTAGCAGGGACCGCAATTAGCCTTCCTCCACAAGGTGCAAAACAGGAGCTGCGATTCATCACCCCCTACCTCCACAGGTAAATCACTGCTACTACTAAGGAAGGGAGAAAGTCTTCCTAATACCTGCAGCCCAAATAGACTTTTAAAGGCACAAGAAATACCATTCTTGAAAGGTCACATAGTTCGAGAATGGAGATTAATGAAGGGAAAAAACCATGATTTGACCAACTCGGGACACAGTATGATCACTGTTAATGTTAAGAACATTTTATTTCTTCAGTTAAAGGTCACTCTCAATTCTCAACAATAATTCTGAACATACCGCAAAGTTTCTAAGACAAATATCTGATCTTACCTCTTTTTGTTATGAGAGTTTGGTCTTCTGTGCGCAGTGGATTACTCTTTTCCCACTGGATATATTTCTTCCACATGTCTACCTGTTGAGCTTCTTGGGGAGTATTCTGGGGTGGTACGGAGGGAGCATTGCGATCCAGACCTTTCATAACAGTCTCATATTCCTGAAGAAGTAGATAATGTTTTAGGTTATAGAGAGAAACAGACATCGTGGAAGTGACTGCTTATGGCTATACTTTGGCATTTTTATCCTATGAAAGCATCAGTTATGTCAGCCTACCAAACAAGATGCTGAACTTGAGAACATTAACAAGGCTTAATACTTTCAGGCTTTTAAGGAATTAAACAATGTAAACACGAAATGAGCAGGAATCTGTACCTTGGCCACACGTCTAGCGTTCATATAATCTCTACTCCGATCTTCAATCATTTTTTTAGCTAAGTGAATATTGATTCCCTGGGGAGAAAAATAAAGAGCAATTGAAAAGATACAGTTTTACAAAAACATGCAAACAACTGAATTTTATCTCAAAGAAAGAGAATGGGCACTGGAAAAAGACGTAAAACCATTTAAGAAGGTTCAATAAAAGTCTTGTAGAAAGGTATGGACATCTGAAAACAAATAACTCCAAGTAAATGTATGGTAAGTGGAATTACAAAGTTAGGTAACAAATAAGGTAATGTAAGCAAGCTGTATTTGGCAAGTATTAGTCATTTACATCACAAAATATTTTATTTTTTACTTCTAAAACACACATGCCTTAAGTGATGTTGGACCGTACAGGAAGAATCCAGACTGAGACTTCTAAAAATTAAAACTAAAAACGTTACGTACAAATTATGGGACATAAAACTGAAATTTTGCCAGTAAATAATGACCAGTCCACAGTCAGTCACAATTCCTTTCCTCATTCCCCCTTGTCCTTTACCAAGTGAAGCTTTAAATTCCCTCCAAGTAGGCTCAGCTCCCTTGGCCAGAACATTGCAGGGGTCAGAGCCAAGACCCTGGTCACTTCTACCTCTCCCTGCTCACCTGTGAGGGGGTTAAGAGCAAGAGCTCCACAGAATCTGCTCTGCCTCATGCATACAGATTGGCAATCTCGGTACTCAAGAACAGCTGTTCTCAACCGCCAGTCTGCAGACCAGCAGTGGGCCATGAACTCCTGTCTGATGGGCTGTGGCACGTTTCCAGGCCATGCCCCCAGCTTTTATTTAGTTCCACCCTCTGGGGTTCCCAGGGAAATCCTTCCTGCGCACTTCAGGCGTCAACATGGTGAGTGGGGTGACTGGTAGCTGGGTACTGTAACGGACAGTAGGAGTGCCAACCAGCACCCAGTGACTAAAGGGTTAAACTCAGGTAGCTAGCAAAGGTGTTGGTCAGGGGGCAGGGAGAACCAATCAAGATAGAGGATTGAAATCTGATTTGGATATAGGTTCTCTACCGGCTTTCTTTGTGTGGGAGAGAAAAGCCAGGAGCTAAGACACACAGAACGATTTAAATCCAGGCAGAACTACCATGCCTCCCAAGAAATTTGGGACATCGGAGGGGACTGAACAAAGAAAAGATTGGAAGTAAGTAAAAGGAAAAGTGCATCTAGTCGCATTCAGGGTAATTTTTCTTTATTTTGTGGTTTGGTTTGAACTGCTCTGTGTGAATCTATGCCTCCCCTTCGCCATTTACTATCTAGCATTGTGCCCAGAGACTTTTCTTTGTGCTTCATTTTCCTTAGTTCCTCTGTAACATCTAGCAACCAAGTATGCTTTATCGAGTATATCTTTTGTTTTGTAATAAAAATCACTTGTTTTAAGGCGATTATTTAATTCTTATGTCCCGGAGGGTCTGTCTATCTGTGTGTATCTGCATGCCTCTGATTGGGAGGTCAGCTACTAAAAACTGCAGCTTATTTTCTTCATTTCTCTTTACAAGCTCTTTAGGGCAAAAGAGCTTGGGGTACACACCCGGGCGTGGGTTCAAGTGATCACCCCTGATTTTTTTAGGGATGATAAATCATTTGATGAGGGCAGAGATTCCCCAAAATCTGTGTAATAGGACTCTGGGGGGAAGTTTTTGTAACCAGTGCCTGTAGAGGCAAGGTTTTTTTTCCCCTTTTGAGCTCTTTGCGGGCCCCATCTTCTGCACTCAGAGTGGGGAACAGCCCTGACAGGTGTGCTGCAGCTGGAGCCGGGACCATGATGAGGCTGTCCCTACTGGGGCTCCAGCTCCAGGTCTGGCGAATACTACATGGCCCAGCAGGTGGGGCTGAGTGCCAGATGAAGGGCAGCTGCTCCTGAAGCCCTGTTGTCCTTCCACCCTACTCAGCAGGAGCCTCCCCCGGCCTCCAGCTGCTCCCAGCCATCAGGTACTCACGTTGTTATTTTGCATTACTAAGTGCATAGGAAAGTATGCATGTGCAGAAAGTGTCAGCACTATCCGACCTGTTAGTAATTAAGGATGTTAAAAGGAGAATATCTGGCTAACCGTATATACAAATTGTATAAACTATAGGATTAGCTGATAAGCGCCATTCTGCAGAGCCGCAGCAGGGGTAGCTCCAGAAGCTGACCTGAGCTGGGACTGAGCGTTTCTGGCTCATGCCAGCTCTAGAGCCACCTGTGCTGTGACGCTGCATTTTAAATGTAATAAGAGCCACTGGGCTCTTACCACATTTAAAATGCAGCAGTACAGCAACCAGCGCGAGCTGGGACTGCTCGGTCCCAGCTTGTGCTGAGTCCAACAGCTGTCGGATGCGAACAGGGATTGCTAGGGGAAGCAACTAGTCAAGTCACTATTCAACTATCCGAAAAGCATTTACTAATAGGACAGTCGACTGGTCGCTTACATCTCTAGTTAGCACTGCCTCTAATTCTGGTGCCAAATTGAGGCAAAAGGTTTGGAGTGGAGAATACCCTTTAACAAGTATTAGCAACTATTGTATTTTTTGTTTTTTTAAATGTGTGTGTGCAGTAGTTTTTCAAATTCTTGTTAACTATCATGTACCCCCTCCTTTGATTTGCCTGATATACCATGGGCTAAAATGACCATAACAAATATGCAAGTAAAGTAATTACCATAATGAAGATACAAATATATGAGTTTGCCAGTCTCGGGTATAAAAAAGGTTGGGAACCACTGTGCAAGTAGGTGAGTAGGCTTTGTAGACATTTATTCCCTTAGGTGGGAATATAGAACAGGTGCCCCTTAAATACATTCATTAACTTTAAATGTCTGAAAACGATAAATCATATTCTTTAAATGGAAGGAAACTCCCTCTATATTTGCTATTTTAAATGCCTTACACATCTGACAATTAATTAAAGGCATAAATTGGACAAGATCTTGCAAATGTTACTGTCTCCTACAAACTGCTGAACACCAAACTCCTACTGAATTCAGGCCATAAGGGAACTCAGTGGAAATATAACAATCCCACTGAATGTTTAGCAAATAAGACCCTGAACACTTTATTTAGATATTCAAAGGGCTCATGGCTTTTTTGACCCTTCACAATGGCTGTCCATCTTAAATATGCATTGCACTACCATTATCTGCTGCACACATATATAGAGTGGAGACAATTCTGGGAAGAATCTTAAATAATTTTTAAGACAGGATTTTCTAAACAAACCAGAAATCAAAAACAAGTTTTATTTTTTTAAATTACCTCTTCATATTTGTTATAATCCCTCCAAAGTTGTTCAATGTTGATCATTGGATTCACACAACCTCGCTGATAAACCCTACGAACTGCTGTTATCCTTTGGTTTTCTGCATAAGATCCAACTGCCTCTCTAAACAGTCAAGTGAAACATCAACATGTCAGGATTACAACTCTATAATTTGTATAAACATTAAGATTACATGAATTCACTTAGAAATACTTAGAAGTACTTACACGCCTTTCAAAAAATTTATGTAATCCACCCAGATCTATGTGGGGGGAAAAAAACAACATAAAAGATGAAAACAACAAACATTTAGTAATCAGAAATAAATATTAATTAGATAACAAAACATACCTGGTATGACATGATTTCCATGCCAATTTTATCCAGAGCAAAGTCATATGCCTGAGCCATTTTTTCTCTGGAGGGGGAGAAAAAAAGCATAATATTTAAAACATTCAGTGCTAAGACTAGGTTTTAGTAATTTTAAAAAATAGTATTTATTTAAAATGTGCTTTTAGCAACAAATTCTAAATATATATTTACATAAAAGAGGCTAGTGGGGTAAAACAGATGTTTGGTTTCCTTACATTCCTGGTATTATTATTCTGTATTCAGACAAGTACCACAAGCAAGAAAGTTAAAAGGAAAACTGTAGCTGGCCTAGTGCGCGGAAGGCAGTACATAGTGCTCTCGTGTGCCTGGGGCTCTCTCCTCTTAACTGGAGCTCACATATGTCACATGCACCAGGAAGAAAGGATATGGTCAGTTGTTCTATAAATATCCTTTGCCCACTGATTTACTTAGTTGCAATATCTGAAAGCAAGGGAGCTTGACTACCTCCGCGGGTTCCTGAGCAGGGTGGCGGGAAAAGGGGAGCAGCCTCCAAAAAGGGGCAGGGCCTCAGGCAGAAGGGGCAAGGCTGCAGCAGCCACTCCTCCACACCACGTGGAACATGACACGCTATCCCTTCCTCACAGCCCTCAGAGCTGCACAGAGCCTGTAGAGAGGCATGCCAGTGGCAATTTAAAGGGCCCAGGACTCTGGCCACTGCCACAGTACCAGTGGTGGCAGTTTGGAGCCCTGGGCCCCCCTTGGATTCGCTGGGCCCTGGGGCAACTGCATCCATCTGTCCCCTCTTGTTGGTGGGCTTTCTTGTACGAGACTGACAAACTGTAGAGGAGGGCTAAAAGGAGGGATTTCCTATTAAAAAGCCTGAGTGGAGCAGCTTTTGAGACTTCCTTCTTCCCCTCTATTAAAAGAGTTTCTTTTTAATAATCAAAAACATTCCATGGATTTTTTTAAAAATTTTTCAGCCATGAACCCCTTCTTATCCCAACAAAAATTGTAATTTTGTTTCACTTTCCCTTTTCCATCTTCCCCATTTCCCTTTTCATTCCCATCCCCAGACATTTCACCACTGAAAACAGATGACAAAAGAAGGGGAAAAAGCAAACACAAAATGTGATTTTTCATTTTTATTGAATTTTTTTTACATTAAAAATTCTGTTTTTTGTTAAAAGTATGCATGATTTTTAACAGCACTAGTAATGCATACAGAATAACTTGGCTAAGTGATAACTAGATGGAGAGAATAAGTCAACAGCTTACAGCTACTCACAATGTAAATACTAAGGCCGTGTCTACACTACAGGTTGAACCTCTCTAGTCCTGCACCTTCAGGATCTGACCGGTGCCAAACCAGAAAATGTGCCAGCCCACAAAATGTCAGTATTGTCTAGCAGCATTGCCAACACTTCCACTGTTTATTGGGCTCTTAGAAGACATTTAGGGGTAAAGTAGAGCTAAATAACAGCACAGAACACTGAGAGCCAGGACTGGTGGCTGTGAACACACTTTATGGGACACCGGGAAACTTGGCCACATCCATGAGAAGTAGACACCCAGCTAAACAAAATCATGCCAGATCACAGATGTTGCTGGACCAGAGAAGTGCCTGACTAGTGAAGTTCAACCTGTACAGACATTGCAACAGCACAGCTACAGCATTGTAGCTATGACACTGTAGTGCCATAGTGCAGACACTTCCTGTATCAGGAGCTTTTCCACTGGAATCAGTAATACACCTCTCCAAGTGGCAATAGCTGGGTAAACAGAAGTATTCTGCAGTAACCTAGCCACATCTACATCAGGGGTTAAGTTAGCTTAATTACAGTGTTTCGGGAGTGTGGATTTTTCACACCTCTAAGTGCCACAGCTATGTGACCTAACCTTTGTTGGCCACACCTAAAGATGGAGATGAATTATTTAGTGCAGTACACAGGAGTATGAACAGAAACAATGGGAAGTTTAAGATGAATATCCAAAAATTCTTCCTGACACCATCGTGTATTAATTGCTAGAGTAGTCTTCCCAGGCCTTGTCTAAGCAAGAGTTCTTCAGCTGTTCCCACCTCAAATATTGTATCTTGATTAAAGCTAACACTTGAGCTTTATTACTTGAACATCCTAGTGTACAAAAGGCTCCTATTTGCTCTTTGTGATGGGGTGAGGTCACAGAAGACCCCTTGGGGCAGCTTCCCAGAGTGCTGACAAGGCCACTACCACTTGCTTCCTTGCTCTCTGGAGTTTCTCAGTACAGACAGAGAGCTGAGATCGCTGCCCCCCACCCAAAGAGCGGTACAGACACTGGTTCCTTCCTTTGGGTGTGTCACGCCAGCCAAAGACAAAGACCCTGGTAAGCTCCCCATGGTTTTATGGATTCCCTTTTACATGGGAAAGTTACCTGGCCAATCCCTACCAGTTAGGGACGTCACATGACAACCACTGCTAAGACTTAAAGGACAAAAGAGGGTGTTTACATATGATTGCCCACACATTGAGGTGTCCCAGCATTGGAAACACCCTTGATGGCTTTCCTTTGCACATTTAAAACCACAAACCATTCCATGCTCCATATATCTAACGTTACACACAAGAATGATACACGCACCAAAATAAGATACACAGATCCAGTGGATTATGACATGAAGATTGATAGATTACAGGAGATAATTTATCCAAAGCACCTCTAAGTTAGGCATATCTGTTTCCACAAGACCATTTTCTAAAAGCATGGGGGTGGGGGTTGGAGGTCTGTCACATCCTCACTGATCAAGAAGTTACATTAGGTTAGACAAGGCAATAGATGATGTAAGATAAAGAACAATCCCTCATTAACAGGGAGATGGACAGGACAATCTAGTAGGTCTTTTCCATCACTAATGTCTCTAGCTGCCCCAAAGAAGCAACCTTATCTGTTATTTTATATGCAGCACAAGCATGGCAATTGCCTACCAGAAAGAATCAAGGGGTGTATCAGACAAAATGTTCTTGGAACAGAACACAAGAGATATCTTATAGACCCATTATGATCAACTCTCCAGGTTCAGAGGCAGGTTTTCCAGGACAGAATCCATGTTCAATGCTTTGTAAAGGAAAAGAGAATCATCATAAAAACTAAGTCAGAATTTAGAACAAACCATTTTACTTACTTGTAACTGGGTAACTTTCCCTTGGTTTCACGTACATATGAAAGGTAACACTTCCATAAATCAATGTGTAGCACCTTCATAAGGCATCTCTGAAACAACTATTAATATATGGAGAAAATATGATCAGGAATCTAAGATCACAAATTAGGTTTTTATATTATTTCTTTGGTAAGAATATCTTCATGTTAGGTATTGAGAACTGAAGCGATATAAAATGCAGGACAGTTCTGGTGACCCAAACTAATTATAGTGGGTTGAAAACCCACTTTAGTGATCATACTTCTAAGGTATCCTTGGATAAACTATGTAAAAAGAATGACAAATATTCAATGCAAGCTGCAGTTCTTTCCAATCTACTAATCCAGCCTAATGAGTTGACAACATCTGATCTCCTTATAAGTATAATATTTTATATTTAAGGTCCTTTGAACTCGTTTTAAAAACAAAATCTTAAACATTACACAAGAATAGAATTTATTAAAGGACTCACCTTTTCTACTTTGTCGTAATTTTTTGCTTTAATCTGTACAGAAACAGAAAATAATATATTGGAAAAATTCTACTTTTAAGGTAAATTTTACATATGTAGTGGTGAAACAGTTTCATTTGCCTCCTTTTGTCTAGAGTACTAATGAGTTTTAGTCCAGTGTTCTATCTACTAGGTCACACTGTCTCTCTGTGTAATTATTATTCATTGCATAGACTGAACCTCTCTAATCCGGCATGAGCATCCTCGGGAGCTGACTGATGCTGGACCAGAGAATCTGCTGGAGGTCAATATTGTCTAGCAGCATTACCAATCTCCTTCCACCGCTTACTAGGGATGTAAAATCACATTTGCTTGGCTAACTGGTTAAGCATATTGTGTAACCAGTTAACAGATTAAATGGGGGGTCCACACGGGGGAGGGGCTGCTCCAGCGCACACTGGTAAATCTTAATTGGTAAGCCTCGCCTGCTAAGGGTGAGGCTTACTGGTTAACAGGTTAAAACCTCACATCCTTCCTAGGGATGTTAGTATCTAATTGTTTGCACAATTAACTGATAAGAGCAGATGTATTCGTTAATCCTAATGGTTTCACACACACTCCCCCTTTGCTGCCTCTGTATCACTAGCAGCAGGTGTGGAGGCAGGCAGGCGCCAGTGCCCATGGGGAGCTGGCTTTTAAGATGGCTCCCTGTGCATGCAGGCTCCTGCAGAGCCACCTGTCCCCCCTTCCCCTTCTGCCTTCCACAGAGGCAGCAGCGCGGTAGGGGGCAGGCAGAAGCAAGTACACACAGGAAGCTGGCTTTCAAGCTGGCTCTCTGTGCATAGCAGCAACCACGGAGCAACCTGCTCCCCACATTCCTTCCCCCCCTGTCTCTGATAGAGAGGAAACAGAGTGATCAGATGCTTGCAGGGAGCCAGCTTAAAAGCTGGGTCCCTAAAAACACCCACTCCCGCCTGCTCTCCTGCATTTAAATGTGTAACCGCTAAAAATGTCAGCAGATAAACGTTTACACAAATACATGATTATTAACACCCCTAGTCCCTGCTTCTTACACAACATTTAGGAGTAAATTAGAGCTAAGCAACAACACAAAACACGAAGAGGCAGGACTGGTGGCTGTCAACAAACTTTAGGGGACCGTGGGAAACTTGGCCCCACCCATGATAAGTGGACATCCAGGTTAACTAAAATCATGCCCAACCACAGATGCTGATGGACCAGAGAGTTCCAGACTAGAACTGTTCAACTTGTACAAGAAGCCTCTCTTTTTCTTAGCTATTTTGGTTCTTAGAGCTAAGTCTCCATTGTCTTCACAGACTTCCAACAGGACCAGAATTTTGGCCTTAATGGGTACCCTTACTTATATTCTGTATTGGAAGTCAAATTTTCAAAGCTGGACACTTACTTTAAGGTGCTAAATTATGCACTCAAGTGCATAGAATAGTCACTGGTTATCGAAGTGCCCATCTGATCATCCAGGTAAGATTCTGGGTGTCCCAACTTAACTACCCTCGTTTGAATCTTGAGCTAAATGGGTCATTTCATTTATCAATCTAGTATAGTTCTGTATTTTATTGCTAGCAAACATTACTGCATTATGCTGAAAAGTGTATTTCTTAAAATAATCCTCTCGAAATGTTCAGACAAGAGTTGGCTGAATAACAAGTACTTCTGATTAAAACCAGTAAATTCAGCTCTCTCTCTCTCGCCACATTATTTATCATTTGCAAGTATGTTTGCAAATCTACAGATTTCAGCATGAGCAATTATTCATCCTAACTCCATACCAGAATAGGGATATTTTCCTGTTAAACATTTCAGTCATTCCATTAGGAAGCAGAAATATCCAGGGTGTTGTGTGATCACTCACTCACTGACTGAACCTGATTTCCGAGTAGACAGAGTAATCAGTTTGCAAATTATTCAGGAAATATTTACAAATAATGAATATATTAGAAATATTAAGGATCAGTTTGTGAATGTTACAAGCAGGAAAAGGGCTATATTTGCCTACTACTTTTATGTGAAATAAGGAATCTGCTCTATATTTTAGAACAAAATTCCACTTTTCAATTAATTTTGGAACTAATCTTACATTACTAGGAAATTACTGTAAACTACCAAAACCATAAACCCAAATCAGTAGAGTTCAACTTTCAACCCATAAATATTTATATTTTCACAGAGCATAGCAACAATCTCTATGTGAGGTTGCTAGTGACCTACTAGATTAGCAGTCTTCTGGTTTCACCTTGATTTCCACTGGACAGGAAACAAATGTTCCTGGTCAATATATTTATAAAGTAAACCACAACAAAGAGGGAGAAAATTACAATGCTGCAATTCCCAAAGACCCCAATCAGGATCAGAGCCCTGTTGCTTTAGATCAGGGCTGGACAGTAAACAGCTCATCTCCAAACACAATTAAGACCATGTTCCATGACCCAAAGAGAGAGGGGCTAAAAAAGAACTCTACCAAGAAATCACAGAAAAACACCAGTGCTTTTCACAAGCAAAATGGAGACCATCTGTAACCTGTAGTTGACGTATGTATTATAAATAACGGACCACTCTGAAATGAGTAATTCAACTCTCACGGTGCCAGAATAGCACATTAGATAGAGGCAGCAAGGTGGGGGGAGAAGATGGAGATACTTAAAAGCAACAATGCTGCATGGAGCCCGGGATCAGCTGCTCCATGCGGCGCTGCTGCTTTGAATGCCGCAGGGAACTCAGGGACGGGCTCCTCACAGCATTTCAAAGCGGCAACACTGTGTGGAGCCCAGGATCAGCTGGGGAATCCCCACATGCAGCGTGACAGCTTTGAAATGTACATGATTATTAAAATATAATAATTCCTAGCAGGGGCTCTTGTGCATTTCAAAGCAGAAGCGCCCGTGTGGAGCCTACAATCAGTGGGACTTCCCGCTGCCCCTGAGCTCCGCGTGGCGTTACGACTCTGAAATGCACAAGTGCCCCCGCTGGGGCTCTTGTACATTTCAAAGGAGGAACACGGAAGTGCTTATTGACTAGCTGACTAGCAAATTAATCGCTACTTAACATTCCTACTTTAAAGGTTAAAATAAACGAGATATTAAAAACAATTAATAAACCCCAATATCCAGATTTTGACATTGATCAATGACAGCAGATCCCCTTTGCAGGCTGAACGTGGCACCCCCCTGCTTAATACTTAAGCCCTGATTTTTAAAGTTTTTTGTGTGCACCTATCAAAGGTTGCCTCTCCTTCCTTGACCTGACCCTGCCACCAGTAGCACGCTGGAGCTGGTGCTACTGAAACAGATTTGCAAATGCAGGAAACATGCCTTTTTCAGTACCTGGCCCACAGCTCTGGAACTTCTTTTCTTCAAGATACCAGTTCATCATCGATTTTATGACCTTACCTTTCACTCTTAACACTACTCTCTTAGCACTTCATTTCATACAATAACAGCCCAACAGACAGTAAAACACAAACCCAAGTAGCAGTCTCACAGCACTGCACAAACATAGGATAGCAATTATAGTTTTACTGACTGCTTTAACTATAAATGTATTGCCTCTCATGACACTAATATGCATGTGGTAAATAGATGCAGCCAATTTTAAGGCTTCATTTACAGGGCAGGCTGAGCTATGTTCAGGTCCACAGACTAGTAAACTCTAGCCACACAGGTACACATGGGCTACATTTGCATATATATGCTATTAGCTGCATTATGCTTTAAAACGGAAGGAAGTCCGAAAATGCAAGTTACATCTGTGCTAGAAAATTGTATGCTTGCAGTAAAATAAGGATCCCTAAATCAAAACTAACAGAAATTATTTAGCTTGACCAGCCAAAAGAATAAAATTCTCAGTTCCTGAAATTCAGGCTTAGACATAGCCAGAATCTTATTTCTCTTTGAAGTTTTAAAGCCACTGCCTATTCAAGCTTATGAAATGAATATATTATTCTATCCTATTTAATTAACAGTCTCATATAGCACTGTATATTTCAGACCTTTCTCTTTCATTTGATTTTAATATATTCTTTATGGCTCTTATTTATAGCCATTAAACATTATAGAAAGAGTTCATACTTCCATGGAAAATTTGCAAAGATCCTATTTTCATTCTTTTGCATTTGGAGAGAAGTGCTGGAATATTTAAAAGTAAACAAAAAGTTTGCACTGTAAATCCCATTGCTCCTGTTTCTTCAGTGCTTTCAAAATTTTACCCTTTAGCTAAGGAGTCATGGGATCAAAGCTCTTGGCCTTTTCTCATTCTCTCTGAGGAGTAAGAATCCATCAGAACATAGTAGTTTTAATGTAAATGTACATTCATTTCTTATTTTTAAACCCCAAGATAATAAGTATTATAAAAGCTTGTAGGAGGAGGGTCTTCTAGTCTTGCAGAAGGCCTCGAATAAACAATGCTATTTATACACTCTGCTACCATACATTAATTTAGTTTCCACAGGCGGGGAAACAGGGATTTTGATCAAGTTTTGAAATATTATTTTGGGTTCTAAGCTCTTAACAGGTGTATCAGAGGTTCTAGTTACCTTTGCATCC